TATCATAATTCAAACTAATATTCATAAACTTGGACGAGGGAAGGTAGTGGACATTGAAGTGGATCTTATCGAGGTGGTCAAGAATTTGTATAACCTAAAATACATCATGTTGTGATGAGTTTGAGATTTAGGAACCCAAATTCTTTTAAATTCTGGCATGAGCTATTGGGCCATCTTAGGCAAAATATGATTCGTAGGATTTTCTTAAATTAAATGGGGCATTCAAACCAAATCCGACCAACTGCATATCATAATTTTCCCCCTTTATCTAATACGTGGTGAAGAAGCGAAACATTTTCCATCTGCGTATTCTTTATTTGCAATCCATATTTCTATATCACCACCATAGCATACCTCTATGAGACCTCAGTGAAGGTACATACATTATTTATGAAACTCCGTCAATAATTTAGTACTTATGGCTCATGTTAGGGGATCAATTTACAATTTGGTACGCTGACCGCATTTTTATTAAAGATCAATTCTCGACATTAGGGGGAGATTAATGCCCAAAATACAAAATAATGTCAAGAAATTCCATTGGTGAAAAAGATCTTCAATATTTATATCCACGTACTAGTCAAACTGAACCAGAAGTTCACATGATAATCTGCTAAGAAAAGAGTGACTAAGCCTCATATTCATGTTGAATATATCATTGATGATTTGGTATGCCAGAAGCGTATTGTGCCAGAAGCATATAAAACATGTTAGTGTAAAAGATAAAAGTCCGCGGCAAACTAAATTATATATAGAAAAACAGTCACTCTCATAACCTCCGGAAGAGGCTTGTCCTGAAGACGAAATCTCCAGTAAATTGCACGTGCACTTGATAATCATAATATTAGAGATGCGGAACGGCCAAATCCAATTGTTAAGGGAAATGACGAGGATTTGGTTGACATAAAATAAGAATTAAAGTGGCCACGAATTTGTAAAAAAGGAGAAATATATAATAGAAATATAAAAGTTGTCGACAACATAGTTGCCTCTATAGTTGCTCTTACTATCTCCGAAAATAATCTGGATCCAGAACCTAAGTCGGTAGCAGAGTGCTTGAAGCACTCGGACTAGGTGAGATGGAAAGTGACAATTGAGGCCGAGCTGAACTCGCTAAAGTATTTTGAATATGTAGTCCATATATCCCTGCAGGATATAAATGGGTCTTCGTAAGAAAAATGAGAATTGTAAGGTGGTGAGATATAAACGAGATTCATAGCTCAATGGGTTCACGCAAAGACCCGGCATCGATTTAGATGTAAAATATTCTCCTATTAGTGATTGTATTACGTTCCGCAAGTTAATACCTATGGCAGAAACTATGAATTTATATATGCAGGATATGTACGTCATGACCACATTTTTATATGAATCATTAGACGCTAATATTTTTATATGAAAGTCCCTGATGGACTTACGCAACATGTATAGCATTAAATTATAAAGGTCGTTATACGACTTGAAACAGTCAGGTAGAATGTGGTATAACCGACTGAGTGAGTTCCTCCTGAAGAGGAGATATGCAAATAATGATGTCTTCCCTTGTGTGTTTATAAAGAAATCTGAAAATGGCTTCTGTATCATCTCATTCTATGTTGATGATATAAATGTTATTGAAACGCACAAGGAGCTTACAGAAGCTAGCTCATGCCTAAAGACGGAGTTTGAAATGAAAGACTTGGGAAAAACCAAGTTTTGTCTCGGCCTGCAGATCGAGCATTTTCCCAGAAGGAATTTTTCTACACCAGTCAACCTATGTGAAAAAGGTTTTGGAAAGATTTTATATGGATAAATCCATCCACTTAGCACACCAATGGTCGTCCGGTCCCTCGAAGTGGATAAAGACCTACTTAGACCCAAAGAAGATAATGAATAAATATTAGGGCCAGAAGTTCCTTATCTGAGCGCCATTGGAGCACTTCTCTATCTCGCAAATTGCACCAGGCCTGATATTGCATTTGCGGTGAACTTGCTAGCAAGGTATAGTGCTTCTCCTACAAGGAGGCAATGGAATAACGTTAAATATATCCTTCACTATCTTCAAGGTACAAAAGATCTTGGACTATTTTATAAAAGAAACCAAGATATGACATTGGTGGGCTATTAGGACGCTGGCTATGTCTGATCCCCATAACGTCAGATCCCAGACTGGTTATGTTTTTCTCTGTGGTGGAACTATCGTTTCTTAGAGGTCTGTTAAGCAGACCATGGCGACTACTTCTTCTAACCACTCAGAGATTATCGCTTTATATGAGGCCTCACGAGAATGTGTATGATTAAGATCGTTGATACGACATATTTGTGGCTCGTGTGGTCTAGCGAAAGATGATATTCCCCCCAATGTCCTTTATGAGGACAATGCAGCTTGTGTTGCACAAATGAGCAGTGAATATGTAAAAGGAACCATGACAAATCATATTGCGCCAAAATTCTTTTATCCACATGAGCTCCAAAAGAATGGCGAAATCACCATCGAAAAAGTTCGCTCAAGTGACAATCTTGCAGATTTGTTCACTAAATCTCTGTCTACATCAACTTATGAGAAATATGTTCACAATATGCACAGACTTGAAAGACTATCTTCTTCAGGGGGAGCAAATTCTTAAAGAACAATCCTAAAGATTGGGCCCTGAATGTCTATTATCATAATTTGCCCCTTTTCGCTAAGTTTTGTCCCACTGGGTTTTTCTTAGCATAGACTCAAAAGATTGTCATCATCAGGGGGAGCGAATTTTCAATGCAATCCCGAAGATTGCACCTTGAAGGACTATAGTTGTACTCTTTTTTTCCTTTGCTAAGTTTTATCCCATAGGGTTTTCTTAGCTAAAGGTTTTTAATGAGGCAACTAATGCAACACAAGTTTGAATCCCGAAGATCTATAGTTATACTCTTTTTTTCTTTGCTAAGTTTTTGTCCTACATGGTTTTTCTTCGCGAAAGGTTTTTAACGAGACAACTGATGTAACAGAAATAATGTATGTATGTCATGTACTCTTTTCCTCGACTAGTTTTTTTTCCCACTGGGTTTTTCTAGCGAGGTTTTTAACGAGGCATTGACATTTCGAAGTAATGTCTAAGGGGGAGTGTTGAAATCTAAAAGACATTTTGTTGATATCTAAAAGACATTTTGTTGATATCTAAAAGACATTTTGTTGATATCTAAAAGACATTTTGTTGATATCTTTTCGAAGTAATGTCTAAGGGGGAGTGTTGAAATCTAAAAGACATTTTGTTGATATCTAAAAGACATTTTGTTGATATCTAAAAGACAAAATGTATGTGAACATTACTTTGTATGTGGACTATTAACTTCATGTCTTTTTATCTTCCATCATGTATCTATAAATTGTACGATGTATGAAAATGAAAGTAATGAATAAAATTACAATTTCTTTTCTTCTCTTGTCTCTTGTTTCATTTCTTTAGTATATTACAACAGATCCAATATTTTTATATAAAAGATTTTTCCTAAATAAAAGTATATTTAATTTATAACATCCAATCTTTTATTACTAAGACAATGTTAATTATCGAGCAAGTAATATTATTTACAACATAAAGTCATATAATATTAAGAATTATTGTGATTGTTTAAACAATGTTTTAATAGAATATCTGGATAGCATAAATATCTATCTAATAATATAAATGATTTAATTATTTCAATAGTACTACTTAAACTAATGATTATATTATTATTTAATAATTATACTCTTAAATAAATTGTTTAATAACATAATAATAAGTAAATTTAAATAAGTATTAAATGTATGTTAATAATAGTATATGTACTAATAATAATATAACTTCAAATTTTTAATAATAGTGTAATAAAATAACTTTATAAAATATTTATATACAATTTATTTAGATAATATAATATTAAACTTAAAAAAATATGTCCACGTGCTATTATACTATTTATTAATAAAAGTAGAGGTCCATGGGCATCATCACAAGTTGAAAATTTACTACTCTGAATCGCTGGGATTGTACGTTAGTCAGAGCTTGGAATTGAAGAGGCATAACAGCGAGTAGAAGCGAACGTCTGACTCTGACCAATATGACTTAATTTTTTAGCACTTACTCCACACTTGCATTTTTTAATTAGTTTTTGATTCCATGGAGCTAATAATGGTAAACACAGTTGAGAAGTTTCTTGTATTCTAAAACCTAAGATTTGCTTCTACTAACAAGTAGCAACATATTACTTTTTCTTCGGCAATTATAAATTTACAGATCAATTTGCAGGAAGCATAATTTAATATCTATATCACAAATGAAGAAAAAAAGATCCCAAACAGGGGAAAATGCAAGTAATGAATAGCTTACTTCGACATAGAAAAGAGCTTCCTTTTCCTTTTCCATGTTGCACATGACTGCAAGAGATGGTACGTGAACTCTCATGGAAAAAGAGAGATGAGAAGACTAGAAAAGGAAAAGAGGAGAGATGGAAAAAAGGAAGAAGCCTAGAAGATTTGGAAATTTTAGAAGATCTTAAATCCTGTGTAACATTAAATGCTTGCATGCTTATACTATACATATTTCATGTGTTTTCATACTTATTGCCTTTAAGTTTGATAATGTATAATAGAGCTCTGCTACAGGGACCCAAAATATAGGACCATTGGAGGGGACGTGTGAGATGTCCCCTCCTAGTACATAATGAGCTGACATAACCAGCTCATTATGCAATAGGGAGGCGACAACTCACATGTCCCCTCCATTGGTCTCATATTTTTGGTAAGGCATTTTTCGGTATAATAAGGTATAACTTTAACTAAAATATACTCTTCAAATTACTCTTGCGCTACTATTCATAAAACGGGTGGAGTCCTACTACTCAGCTTGCCATCAAAATTAATGAGTTGTCAAAAACTCAACAATCATTGTGTAGTAACTTGAAAAGTATAGTAATCACTACTCGTCAAGTAAAGGCTGAACCATTGAAGCTTCCAGGTTTAACAACAAATTTTGTTGAAAAGGAAAAGAAAGAATAAATATATATTTGTGCTGAGGTGAACTAGCTTGCATTCGTTGATTATGCTAAAGAATGCATGTGGATAGTAGCAGGTAATAATTAAGTTTGATCATGTTCCTTAGACAAACAGGGCAATAATAATTGCATGGAAAAACACGCATTAAACTGTTGAACCTTCTAAAAAAATAGTTTATCAACCAATGAAATGAATCAAACAAGATCGCTGACCTCCAATACATAGAAAAGGTTTAGGTAAGTTTTTCTCTGATCTTCAGCTCTGGAATCATTGCAGGCACGGAATCTAAGCATGAGAGGGTAATCCAGTGGAAAAGCACAAAACCCAGCCAATATCGGTTCAATTTGGAACTCGATTTGCAATCAAGTTTGCTACAAATTGAGCCACCCATACTGATCCAGCCTCAGTGCAGCAAAACGAATGAGTGTGGCCCTCCTTTTCAATTGACAGTTCAATTGCAGGGACCTGCCTTGAAATCTAGCGTAGATAAACAAAAGAAACTATGATTCAGTAAACTTCCAAAGTATTACCGCAAGATCATAGAATGTATAGGGTAAGATTAAAAACTTAAAATTTCCTTCAAAGCGTCTCTCTTCTGTTTACTTAGAAAGGAGTTCTATGGTGAGTTAACTGTTGAAACTTCTAGCCAAACATTGATACTCGGGTAGGCCAATATTCAAATTCATTAACCAGGAAAATAAGTAAATTTAGACTGTTTTCTATATAATTCATTTTGAATAATAAGCAAGCATCTGCTCTTGTGACTGCAGATCTGCAATCAAGATATAGCTTGTCAAAGTAAATTATTGAGGAAAAATATATACAACTTCAGTTATTTTCGGTTGCATCCAATAGGGCTTTAGAAAGAAGTGATGGGGGAAGTCTGAAGTTCATCTGGAGTCGGACAAGCCAAGGGAATATTATTATACGTACATCACTAGTCTAATCGCAAGAATTTGACTCAACCTTAAACTACATAATTCTCAAGCACTTTAAAATTTATGGTTAAACTTCATCGCTTCAGCAAAATATTATTTAGCAGTTCTAATAGCTTTTCGAAATCAAATATCTTACTGCAGCTCAAAAAAAAAATGTAAACAACATTCACCTCTTCCAACACTGACAATGGGGCCCAATAGTCGTCGATACCATACAAAAATGCAATCTGGTCCTGCTGCTTTTTCATGAATGCCCAGTCCAACTCTTCTGAAAGCTGAATTTAGTAGATCATTATTAGAATAATATAAGGGATAACAGGTACAACTTCAGAATCTAGAATAGAATTTCGGTAACCGTATCATATATTTAAGCAATAGGACGTACAAACGAGTTAGATACACAGTGACTTACTAATGTTTTGTCTGTAGGTACGTTACTTCCAAACAAATTATATAAATGTATATCCTCCCTTAAATTTCCTCACCATATACGTCAAGTACCTTATTGAGTATATAGGTGCAAGAGGTATGTGTATCGACAAGTATCAAATATTGACAAGTATGACAATTCAGCAGTAAAGATTACAGGTCGTCTGTGTTCATCACTAGATACCATACGGCTAGACAGCAAAAGTTATCCAAATGCCAAATATTTTATTTATAGACAAAAGAATATTTCTACAATTTTTTAACCAAGAGAGAGACCTGCATAGTTTTTAACATCTAAGAGATTAAGAAGTAAAAAATAGGAATTTATATCAAACGCAAGGATTTCAGACTCTAACTGACCCATTAAGATCCGAGATAAACAAATGAACCCCCCCTACTTGGTATAATAATAGACATGTATTAATGAGCTAACTGAAACTATTGGCATTGTGATTTGCTCTTAGTTGATGTAATTAATGCCATGCCATCTCAGTTTAGTCCTATTGCAACATAATTCGTTTTTCAGCAGGCAAAAAAAAAAAAAAAACAGATTTTTGTTTATTTTAAATTTCTACATTAGAACAGGGGGATTTGTCCAACTTCTAAACTGAGAGTTCAACTATTGATTAAGCTATAACTACGAGTATAATTGCTTTTTCTTTGATGGTGATACTAATCACTGAAAAATCAACAAAAGAAGATTGCATGCTCATTAAAGGGAATAAATCCTAAATGTCCCAGACAAACGCACATACAAAATCTAACATTAAAACCTATTAGACTAGAGAAATAAATGTAGTGTTGCTTTACAATTAGTGATAATGCACAATAAAAACTCGTAACTATCAAAAGAACAATATTCAACACTAAACAAATTATACAATTATTACTAATCAAGTACAACGAAGTTGGTGCTAGCAAGTAATAGATGTTGAAACAAAAAGAAACAAAATCAAACACTATTAGAATCAGAGCTCATTTAGATGAATAAATCCTAAAGGTTCCATACAAACACAGATACATAATCCGACACCAAAACCTACTAGAGAAATAAATGTTATGTTGCTTCACAGATAGTGCTAATACACAACCCGTAACTTTTGAGAGAACAGTATTCAGCACCCAACAAAATATACAATTATTACTGTTAAAATTTAGAGGACTTCATGCTAGCAAGTAGAATAGACATTGAAAGGAAAAGGAAAATTCAAAACACTATCAGAATCAGAGTGCATATCCAATAAGTAACCTGATTCCATCAACAATTTGTAACAAATTAGTGCGAGAATTTGTACCTCTGCGAACTCTGTCATAGCCATGAAAAGAACATTGCGCCAAGTATGGTACTGCATAATTAAAAAAACATTCAGGAAACCTTGTTTCCCCAAGTTATATGCAAAGGCATCAACTAATATTAACTCTTCTATGATAAGGCAAACCACAATATGCGTATCACAAATAAGCAAAAGTAACAGAGATATAACATGGAGTTTATGCAGTGCCATTAGCTTTCCTTTCTCTTATACGTGTGTGTGACTACAGGAGAAGGAACCTCTGCTCCATATTTTCCCTAGAGCTCCCTATTCATTTCCAGATTTGTGCAATCTAAATTTTCAGTTCTTGAAGTTTATATTTCTGAGCATTATGATGATCCTGCTTAGGATGCATGGAATAGAGTGAACATGTTTCTGGGCCAATTCATATGAAAAGTCATTAAACTTCAAGGGGAAAAGAAAGAACCTGGCTAAGAATCTATATCCAATTTGAAGAGGGAAGTAGGATATTAATAAGGATTAATTACATTCTGGTAACCTTAGGTGGAGAGTAATTATAGGGGTGACCCTAGAATTTTCTTATCTACACGGGTAATATGAGATTACTGATTCTATTACATGGGCGGCCTTGGAGTCTGACAACAGGTTGACTTTTTTTGATATTTGGACTTAAGAGTTCTTGTTCAATGCTGGTTAGAGTTATATGACAAAGATTACTGACTAAAGTTCTATTGTTATAACACTAACCCAAATAATCAATAATCTTTGTTATAACCCAAACCCTAACCTTAATCCTAGCCCAAATGCTAACTAACATTCAACAAGAACTCCATATCAACAAAAAACCAAATGGTCAGGGTCACCCATATAATTACAATCAGTAATCTCAGCTTTACATGTGTAGATATGCAGACTCCAGGGTCGCATGTGTACTTACACCATACTTCAGGGTACATAATGCAACAAATCCTATTAATCATTAGGTTTAATAACTTAATAAAAGTTATCTACAATTAATAATCAGATATCATTCTAAAGCTGGAAAATTTAAATGCTTGAACAGTGTTAAATATTTGTTGCATATCTGCAAGAAAGTGTTTTCTCATCGAAACTTCATATTCGGCCTACAGAAGAAGAAGTCTTGCCTGCAGAAGGTGACTGCATGTAGCATCAATTGCCGTAGAAGATAATGACTGCCCGATAGTTCTTTTTACAAGAGCACGTGAAAGCCAGGCAGGAAAGAAGCCCAACAAAGAAACAAAATAACTGAAGGAAGCACTTAAAAAAGATGACCTGAAATTTGAGCGAAAATGGAATCAATAAGACAATTCCTGTCTTCCTTATTTTAAGGTGTTTGGCCTGGTAGAATGCCAAAAAAACATCATATAATTCAACTAGCATCAAAGCATAAAGACGGTGATCTATATAGAATACTTATGGTTGGTTGAAGGGGAAGAAAGAATAGGTCAGGTATGCCCATATAAATTTTTTACTGTCTTCATGTCAAAACATTTAATTTACTGCAGTGGGTCCTGTTTTAACGTGGAGATTTGGCAAAAGATTTAATTGCAGAAAATTACTCTTGGCGGACTGCCATAATCCCTTAGTTATGTCACGGCAGTTTTATTTAGAAGTGCTTACTTCCTCTGGCTGCTTGTTTGAGGTGCACAACAATGCCTATAGTTTCCTCAAATTGGACGGTAAAACAAAACAAATCCACCTTAATTTGTCATTCTGATAGATCTAGAAGATAAATGAAGATTGCAAAAATGGGGGGAAATGAAACCAAAAGACGTTTATACTATATGTTATGTTAATTCTTCTTCCACTGAAAATATACAAAACTGGCTTTCTGAAGTAGCTTTATAATACATTCAGACCTCTAATATTTGAGACAAGTAAAGAAACCAAACCCAACAGACGAGAAACGGAACAAGAAGAAAAGCAATGAATCGGTTGAGAATTGATAATTCGTATTTTCCAGCTCAAAGTTGTAGGTTTGATGATAATGATGCAATCATGCAAACCCAATCCCGTGTGTATTTATATATGAAACCATATGGTGGGATGATGGGTTCATCACTTAATCTTATGACAACAGAATTTGTTAAGAAGGAACTTGCCAATTGATATATGGTTCTTGCTGCCATTGTCTCATTATGTGATATAGGACAAGTCAACAAGTGTACGTATACAGCATCAGCAAGGGCCTTCAACCAGGGAGAAAATAATGACAGAAGAGAAGACTTGTGCTAGTGAAATACAGTAAAAGTGATATTGAACCCAGACTTAAAATTGAAACCATCAAGAAATGTACGTGTATAATTTACCTTGCTAACTTCGCAATTCTGGACAGTTTTGGGGAATCAACAGTAAGCAAAAAAGGGTATAACCCAATAGCAAATCTGACCTATAAGAACATACACAAGGGGAAAAAAAGTGAGCTTTTCAATTTTAGGGAATCCTGACTGAAACATATGGTACAATATCTCAGGAGAACTGATAACCTGCTGAGGAAGTCTCTTAAATACTTCGATACATATGTATGAGCCAATAGAATGTCCAACCTTCAAAAGAAGATATGGAATATTATCCAATAATGACTTCGTATAAGTGAAGAAACACTTCTTCAAAAAAATTGAACTGTATGTATATAAGAGGTGCTCTAGGCCGGCCACTACTGACACTGCTCATGATATTGTTAGAATGGCCAAACCAAAATTTAAAGATGAATTTCCCAATTGAAAATCCATATTGTTGGACATGATGTAATACACATTAACTATCAAGAAACAAAATTTCCAAGACTAAAATGTGCTTTAATTAATATATGAAAAGACAGAATTAATTAATTTTATGAAATAGTAAAACGCATTTAGATAATTCAAGATTTAATTTCCAAATAGTTTATATGCAGTATACCATAAATAATGGTACAGGCTTTCAATTCTGAAAATAGTATTAATAGTATCTTGCTCCCAGATACTACTGATAGTAGTAGCATAGCTCAATCAAGATGTGATGTAATACACATGGATTACCTAGAAACAAAATTCCTAATGATGCAAGCATCTGTCCAATAGTGCATCAATACAATCTCTAATTTATAAAATAATATATCCCTAACAAAAGCTCCAGAAAGAAACAATTGTCCAAGAAATTTAATTCAGTAGCAACTGAATAAGGTAAAAGAAGTCAGCATGAGTTGCCCATGAATGAACTAACCTTCTGCTTATGAAGTAATGACAATAAGGATTGCCCTATGCTCTACCAGACACTAACTGTCAGACTTCTTCAGGTGATAGACATTTGAGCGCTTCACGGAACTTTAGATTTCCTTTGAGTTTCTTTAGTATGTTAGGCCCTCAAAATAGGAAACATGCAACTCCCAGTGGTAAGTTGAAAATGTTATGTTCCATATTTGCAATGCATAATCAAGTAGCAAGACATGTCTGGCAAGGTAATTTTTGCTAGGTTAGATTTAACAAAGGACTATCATAAAGTACTAGAATGCGCTACAATAAACTAGTAGGCTATCATTATTTTACAAAAATATACAAATTCAAGGTGGATAATAATTCGGTGTAAGACTACAAATGCACAAAATAATGTAACCCAGAAATGTCAACAGTTTAATTTGGATCGTGTTAGATTTGGTAGCTATCTCTTATATCCAGATAACCTTTAAAATAGGGCATATAAGAAGCTGCCAATAAAGCTGCACATTCAGCTGTAATTCCTTTGCACAAACCAGTGCAGATTATCATTAAAAATTTCAAAAATAATAAATATCCTTTTGAAAAACAATTAAACCATCTTTCCATTTTTTTTTTGAGGAAACATTAAATATTGTTCTTACAATAAATCAATATTGCATAAGAAACTGTATCTGCAAAAAAAATGTTAATCCCAACTCGACGCTACCAGTATTAGAGGAGGTCCATTAGTTTGGAGCTCTTGTTTGATAAAATCCACCTGCAAAATTATATAAGACTGCTCAGTTCTCCAGTTAAAACTAAAAACATAATGAAGAACATGTGTACCTTATTCAAAGAAAAGTAAATAATACAGATTACACAGGATGACTGTTAACGAACACAAAACATCAGTTGCAGAGCTAGTAAATGAATCTAAATCCATAGTCATAAAGTTGTACACTAACGTACCATAGTGGAACATCAATAATCATCATGACGCAAGCCTCTTCCAATCTAATAAGGATCAGATTTGTAGCAAGACTCAGTGTAAAAAACCTCCACAAGGTATTGCCTAGTTTCTTATGATAGCATCACGTCAATGTTAATTAATCATAGGTTGGTGCCTCTTCAAGTCCATGCACCAAATTCCAAAGTTTGAGGGTTTTTAGGAATATGTTTATACTCTTAACGATCTCTTGTAGGTTGAGCAACCTTCCTGTGAACCAAAACCTGATTTTCCTGTGATGTGGTATTTTTTTTATTTAAAACTGCTTTTCACTACATTCTCCAGCTTGGTTTTGTTTTAATTTAAAACTGCTTTAAACTACACTTTCCAACTGGGTTTTAATACGGAGACTATTACATTGTATCAGAGCACTGAAAATCAAGAGGTCCAGGATTTCAAAACTCACCACTGCTGGTTTAAAATATGTTTACTTATTAATTCTGCTATTCCACATGGCCCAAAATCCAACTTGACTGTTAACAGTGCCGAATTATTGGCCATGGCGATTATAAGCAAAGTGAAGGCTATGCAATGAACCTTAAGGCCAATCCGCGAGTAGAAAGAACTATGATGTGTTGTGTCTAACTCATGCAACAAGGAGAAATTCTTCTGCATTAACTCTAGGCAAGGAAATAAAAAAAGGCAGGCAATATAATTTTCTATAGCACAGAAATAAGCCAAATAGCAAACCAGAATAAATCATAGTTAAACTGCGAAGACTTCTAATTTTTGCATAAGGTCTATGGTAGGTTATGATCAGATCGTTTAAGAATAGGAGTAAATATGAAATAACAAAATCACTGAATATTTTAGCAATATTTTGGCATATTGAACACCAAACAGGATTGCTGATCAAATTGAGTAAGAAACAATCTTCTTTGTTGCAATCCAGTTTCAATATGCAAACGAAAAACTAGTGTCATCATCAGGCAGGGAGAGCAGACGGATACAAAAAAATGTTATAAATAAGCTAAGGTATATGCAGCTAAGCCATGAAAGCATAATTATCAGGCCTAAAACTGATGCACTGATGTCACCGATGACAAGCCTGCTCTGAAATATCCAACATAAATAGCTTCTAAAAGGTCAGCATAAAGATCAGGCATTGACCAAGGTCCAAAGACCTCTGTATAGAAGAGTTGTACTGCTCAAAGAGAGCAACATCTATTGTAAAGCTCAATTAGTGAATAACCTTATCATGGTAAAATCATATTGCTCATGAGAAGTTGTCGGAAGTCTGATATAGTTATACCATTTATGATATTGTTATGTAACTGCTCTGAGGACATTATAGCACATGATATATGAATAGTACATTAAGAAAATTATACAGAACGTGGAAAATTCGGATCATTTTGCAGAAAATTAGAAGTACAGCATATAAGTCAAGTAATAGGTATCCTTTCCGGGCAAAATGATCACCGATCATCTGCTATATGGAGTTGCTTCAGGTATGTACATTTTTATTATTCCAATAGAACGGCAACATAACACCAACAGGCACTCTAGCCATGCAGAGGGCGCGCTCGAACCAAGCAGTAGCATTCTGTGCTTTCATCATGTTGCATTGAGAGTGCTCACATACCAAATACATTAACATTAAAACTTAAGGTGCAAGTCTACAGATACTGATAGGAAAAACTAAAAAAAATATGCCATTATGTTCCAACATTAAAAGAAGTATCCTGCGCAAATGTAACAGCAAGGTTTAATCTGAGCTTTTCACTATAATTTGGAATTCTGGGCAGTGCCAGAAAGAGAAAATAAACTCCAGATTAAATTGAGTCCTTAGGTACAAAAATGAATGAAAGTAAATTCATATGGAAGAATAAGTTTAACGTTATTATTTAATATTGTTAACATGGTTTTGTCTTGAAACACTAGCTGTTAAAAGACTAGAGTATAGGGACAACTAAAGACAGTATAAGACACATATGAAATACATAGAAATAACATTAGATCAAAATGAAGTGAAATTGAGCTGAATATGCCATTGCAACTGAACCACCAAACTTGGAAATGTAGGATAACTGGATAGTATGATAAGACAGCAAGGATTTACAAGAAACCTGATACCTTATGATTGATTTGATCTTGAAGTGAAAACATCCTTCCACGCTCCCAATCCTGGAAGACATTACATCAAACACTCCATCAGATTTCCTAGACTAACATGATTCGGCAATCTCCTAGATCAGATTTTGAATAAAATCATGTCAATAGCGATCATGAAATGCATACATTTATCTTTCCATTGGTGGACGACTAAAAATACAAAGTACGATTGTTTCATAAATTTCATGTCAAGATTAAGGCTGCAGCCGAAATGAATCAAATCAAATGCTTAGATACTTCATATATACTTTCTCAGCCCGGAGGCTTACAGTGAGATCATTTGCACTGAAACATCTAATGAGCAGGTCAGACCAAGATACCTTACTCAAAGACCTAAGCAAAATCCTACATGTATCTTCACAAGCATCAAAGTAAGTACAATTAAAAATGCATACTTGAATGAGTATGGGATCAATTACATCTCTAATGATGTTTGATGTGATAAGTCAGCTTACGGGATGATTTGCTTTCTACCTTTCTTGTGTGGGCAATGTGGCAAATTGCTGAGCATTAGCACAAAGAGAGGAGCAATCAGCCAAATGTTGAGAAGATGGAATGCACAAAGCTTTTAATCCTTGCCTGTTATCGACGCATTGCCATCCAGCAGCTCATACAATGATTCGACAAAGTCTTTATAAAATGAAATAACACCTGCATCGGTTGAAACCCATATTGACCAAGAATCAGAATAGCTCTAAGTAACCAAATAAAAGAAGGTTTTTGGTTTATAAGCCCAATATTTTTACCCTGATTTAGTTTTAAACCACTTAAATCCAAAATACTCATTCTGAATTATTTTTACGCTCAGTTTCTGTTTAATTTGATATACCGACGGCGACATCATAGTTGCCCAATATTTTTACCCTGTTACTAGTCATTATTCAGTGTATTCAGTGGTGGCATTGGCGGATCCATGGTGGGGGCACTTGCCCCCACTGACCTCTTACAAATATTAATAGGTGTTATGCAATTTGACACTCCATTATTTGATCAATTGATTCTAATCCCCTAACGCTGTCCAACATAAACATCCAAATAGGCTAAACCTGACCCATTTATCCAAAACCCTTTACTCAAAATCTAAAATCGGACCTTAATTTGAAATTCCTGCACTAAGTCTACTCCACCTCTGTTAAATCGCAAGAAGGAAAAACCCACAAATCGCGAGTTGCCTCCTGCAGACCCACCTCTTGTTGGGCCGCCTCCTGTTTTATCAAGCCATTGATAGACAATTTAAATAGCTCAACAATCGGTTTATGGAGTCAAATATTGAATTGCTTCTTTGTGTAACATGCTTGAGCCAACAACATTTGTTTGTTGCTTTCGATAAACAAAAAAATTATTAGGCTTCCCCAGTTCTATCCTTTAGAATTCTCCAAAGTTACCGATAGCGGATAGCGTCACGTAGCGGTGAGGCACCGCTAATGCTATTTGGGCTTATAACGACAAAATAGCGGCAACAAGTGCAAAGTCAAGTAGCAATCCAATTTAAATATGTATAAATATTCAAAAAAATATGAAAAATTAAAGAAAAATTTAAAAATTCTACAAATGCATATTTGATGATTTATAGAGATCCTAAGCATGAAATAGACGTGTAACAATCGTGTAATATTAACAAAAGTATTGAACATAAAGAAAAACCGTATATGTTTATCAAAAAGACCGTTATTTGTCCTATTCTTTTAACTTTCAAGTATCTAATAGAAAAATTCTCAACAATAGAAAAACATTGATTAGTAGCAATATAATTGTATTAACTATTTGAAACTTGACATAAAAAAATAGTCTTCAACCATAGATAAATAAGCACTATTTACCACTATATACCTTTATTTCGCGCTTTCGAGCACTTTGGCGAGTGACAAGCGCTAGTGTGTTCACCGCAATCAATGAAATTGTAGCGGTAGGCTCCGCTACCGCTATTTGCGCTGCAATAGCGCCACTATCGGCCGCTATTTACAATAGTGGAATTCTCCTCAGTGAAAATCATGAAACTTAAGGACAGCTTCAAAATTACTTAATACATGTGCGATCAGATGATAGATTTTTAAAATTAAAGAAATAGGTAATCTTTTTGAAAAAATAATGGCGACAAGAAAGTATATTGTATACCCTCTGGTGTATCTTGTGAAAAAAGCTCAGATCTTACTAGTTGCTACTGTGATCACGGAAATAACTTTTTCTTGCAATGAACATAGTGAAGTATCGAATGCGCAACCACATGGGAGATGAGTGGTTGAATAACTCTTTGGTCGCTGATATTGAAAGAGATGTCTTTGGTAGCATAGACAATGAGAATATCTTACAATGTTATAAAAAATGAAGACACAGAGGGAACAGTTGTAAATAGTTTTATTAAAGTACTTCTACTAACTATATTTTGTTTGTACATATATATATGCTCATATGGTTTTGATGTCATTAAAATTTAGATAAAAATATTATTTACTATTATATTTGTAGACTTGTAGTCCTGCTTCAACCATGCGTGAACTAAATTTGACCTCAGTTGACCTCCCGACACCTTCACATTGGACTTCACTTTTAAGTGGGCCACAAGCTTGGCTCTGATATAAGATGTTGGGGAGTAATCAAGCCTAACCTAGAGCTAATTGGCCTTAAACAGAGACTACAAATCAATTTTAATCCAAAAGCTTAAGCTATTGGGTATTGGCCCCAGGCCCCAGCTCTTATGGCTTGTTTGGATGGAGTGTAGAGAGGGGAGGGGAAGAGAAATGTAATTTTAAGCTTGTTTGGGAGTTGCATTTAGGAGGGTAGAGGAGGGGAATGGGGGCGAAATTTGTGTCAAAATGTTACACCCCAAATTGGGGGTAATGAAGGGGAAGGGAAGGAAGGGGAATTTCTTCCCTTCCTTCCTTCCCTTCCCTAAGTGAACTCCCAAACATACCACTATTTTTAAACTCGTCGCTCTTCCTATTTTATACTCAGATTTGTATCCTTAACGGTCATAAGCAGTGCCTACAATATAGCCAGTGATGTCCAGTCACAGCAGGACTCCGCCACTGAGTGTATCAGTAGCTATATTTGGGCTTAAGATGATATAGTTGTAATTAAGTATGACTATATGAAAATAAATCAAGGTAAGACTTCGGCTTTACGGACAAAAATCCAAAAACAAGTACTCTTTTATCAAACCTGGGTTCCCTGGGACAAAAACGATATGCATTCTGGGTTCTTCTGAGTGAATCTCGAGCAATTCAGTAGAAAAGCTACAAATAACATAAAACAGATTATAAATTTGAAAATTTTCCGCATTAAATTAAAATTTTGTAGAAATCTTACCATGATACTAAGCAAATTCGCTCCGTCGCTTGCTTCCTACTAACCGACAGCAGTTTCTCCTCATCCATGGACCAAATTGTACGATTTACAGTGAAATTCCTATTGACCAAATTGTTGAATGAAGAAAAATTCATGAAATTGAGTAGAAATTATCGGATTAAAAGAGCTAGTACCTGTAAATTGTGAGTCCTTTTGCCCTAGATACAAATTGATTAAGATTGAGATTTTTAGGGCAAAATAAGAAGCGATTAGAAAAGAGAGAAAAGGGTAATAATGGTAATTACGTTGTTATTGGATCTAGTTTCGACTGGGGGCGAGCAACGCAACGTTGCGTGGGAAGAAATTTGATGGGAGAGAAGAGGGAGGGGAGCATTGGTCCCTTGTTCTGTCTAATGGGCGTGGTTTGGTTTTGGGCTTTAAGTAGGGATGGCAGTTCTTTAGCCGACCCGCTGACCCGATCCGTTATAAATAGGTGCTGGTCATACTGGATCCATCAGAATTACCCTTTTTTTTTTCAGTTATGAGGTTTTTTGATTGGTGTAATTTTTTGATAAGTAAGATAATTTTTGAGACTTTACTTTATAGCATTATAGCATTATTCATTGGGATAAGGGATTGAGACATATTTTAAGATGTTATTCATTAGGACAATAAGATTGGAATAATTACCTTTGTTTTTCCCAAAATTATCTCACTTCTATACAAAACTTATTATCCCAATCTCTAAAAGTTACCACATTCTCAACTTTGGGATAATCATGGAGAGAGTAAATTAATTTTGAAGCATTAAGTTATTATATATCTAATATATGTTACTTGTATTATAATATATAATATATCTTAGGGAAAATTGTGTTAAGGCACCAATTATAATAATGTAATGACCGTGAATTTTTTATACTAGTTAAAGTAATTTTTTGGTATTTTAAAATATTCAATTATTATTTTCAAAAGAGTATTTATATTTTTTCGCTTTTCTAGAATTTTCTATGATTTAAAAATTTAGATTATATTGTTAAACTAATACTTGATTATTTATTACTGTTATTATTATTGTTAATGACTATCTTATATTGATTTTTAGCCTATTCCATTCCCTGGTCTTTTTCTTGTATTTTTTCGTATTGTTTTCTTTTTTTGGTATTTTAAAATATTCAATTATTATTTTCAAAAGAGTATTTATATTTTTTCGCTTTTCTAGAATTTTCTATGATTTAAAAATTTAGATTATATTGTTAAACTAATACTTGATTATTTATTACTGTTATTATTATTGTTAATGACTATCTTATATTGATTTTTTAGCCTATTCCTTTCTCTCGTATTTTTCCTGTATTATTTTCTTATTTATTTATTTTTAGTGTATTTTCTTTAAACCCTAACCCTAACCTAATATATATTCCTTTCTCTCGTATTTTTCCTGTATTATTTTCTTATTTATTTATTTTTAGTGTATTTTCTTTAAACCCTAACCCTAACCTAATCTATATATATATA